TACACCCAGCACCACCCACCTTTGCCACAGCCATGGATCTAAATGCTGCTCCGCCCCAACGAAACTTGAGCAAAGCCGCAGCAAACCTTTCGGGCTACAGGACTGTGTAAGTCCATAGTCAGTGCTGCGCTCCGTTTCCTGGGTGCCAGGCTCTGAACGCACCATGATAGGAAGTGCCTGAGCAGCCCAAAGAAGTCAAGATCAACAAGCTGGGGTCGGATCTCGAAACGTGAAAGTCTAGCCCCAAACCCTGCGACGAGACAGGCCCTGAGTGCACAGCTTGCATTGCAAGAGATTGACGGGAGGAGGGCGCTTCCTGCAAAGTCTGCCTGAACAGCAGGATCAACAAATGCCAAGAGGTGCTGACTTGGGCCAGTGTGCTGAGGGCCCGGCACTGGCACCCGGGCAGCACCCTGATGAATTGCTTTGCTGTCACTGATATGCCCGTCTAGTAGTATGAGAAGCCTGTGGCCTGTGGACCACAAGAGGAGCTGTCAACATGCGAGTTGAAACCTGAACTTATCTATTTCTTTAGGATGCAACTGTCCATTCTGCCTCCTGCACAGTGGTGGCAATGGCCTTGCTGTTCAAAGCAATAGACCTGGGCAGGGCCATCGACGTCCAGCGTGCAGGAAAACCCTCAGAGGTCACACCTGAGGCCTCTGACGTCTGCAGTAACCTGACCTCGAGCAGCTCGACCTTTCAGGTTCCAGTGCCTTCAATGTGAGCTGGGGACCTCATCACACCTCTTGACTACAGTCAGTCTTCCACCGCAATCCTGCACAGCAGATCCTCCAACTTTTGTGGCTTCGGAAACCGGGCTCTGCAGACCTCCTCGTCGATCGTCAAGGGCGCCTCGACTCCGCATTCCGAGCCACGTGAGCCACGTGAGCCTTGGAGGAGCTTTGCTGACCCCAAGCTTCCGGCTCCAGCCCTGCTAAGGCTTGTTTCAGTGACTTTTGCATCGTTGGGTGCCCGGCATTGCGTGTCAAGCGCCTGAGTTTGCCGGAACGTGGAGACCATGGAAGCTCCCGGCTCAAGGGCCGCATACCCACCCTTGAATCAGCGACTACTTCTTGAATACCTCCTGTGTCGGCCCTTACTCAGCATTTGTTGCAACATTTTGTCCAAGCGCCACTGTCGTTGTCATGGGCTTCGTTCTGCTTCCAGTCTGCAAGATCCAGAGCTAAAGCGCGGTCTCCGAAGTCAAAAAAGCTTAGCCCCATGCTAGGCTGGACGTCCACAACACCAGAAGTAGTCGGAACGCCAGGCACTTGGAAGCCATCTGTCACAGCCCCCAAAGTGGCCTGGGCAGGGAGGCACAGAATTCGGTTGGTCCATTTCTTCACGCACGTGGTGGGCCTTGATGCGAAGTTGCAACCCAGCCGACCCCCTAGAGACGCAGCATGTCCAGGGTTGATCAAGCCAGTACTTCCTCAAGGTACTCATCACTTATAGCGTCCGTAAGGGCGAGTGCTCGAAGGGCGTGGCGAACCCAACAGGACTTCTTAGGGGTTAAGAACCCCTGAGCGACCCAGCCTCAAGAACCCTATAGCTCACCGACTGTTTAAACTGCGCAAGTCATGGTTTGCGGCAGGTGGGGTCTGAGGCACCTGCCCGGCGAAGGCCAAAAAACGATATGAAGAAGAAGGCGTGGAGGCAGAATGAGGGGTTTCAGGTCTAACTGCCTTTCCTGGGGCCCACCATGGACGCAATCCGGAGAACACCTGTAGCTGCAAACGTGCGGCAGTGGTGGAAAAAAAACCCTCATGGGCGAGGGCCCAAAACTCTCCAGAAAACCGACCTCTACCAAAGCCACGACCCGTCCACACGACTTTCCAGGTGGGCCGAGAGCCCCTACAGTAGGCCCAAAACAACTCAAACACGTGTCTTCTCATGGCTTTTTTCCGCCACGTCGTCAGGATGAGGTCCCAGTGTCTGGGGTCTAGCCCAACCTTGACACTAAACGCCGAGCCTTGGATTGTGCACTGAGCGGTTTCTATCAACTCATGGGAGCTTGGCTTCCCAGAAGAAGACTCAGATGACCTCAGATTGCAATCTCTCTAATTACCCACCCGCTGGACCACCTAAAACTCAAGGGTCGTTCGACTCTGAAAAAGACCCTATTACCATGGCTATTAACCTCGCCCTTTGCCGCCGTGGCACATCTGTCAAATTGAATCTGCCCAGCTACCCAGCCCGGTCCAACCCAGGCGCGTTTCTTAACGGAGTGTGAAGTGGATACACCCAGAGCTTGACCACCCAAGACATGCTTTGCATGCAAGGGCAGGACTGCGGGAGTTTGCGCTTTGGATTAGCTGCATACTGGTCCACACCACGAGGTAGCATGAGCTTCTTTATCACTGCCTGAATCACACAGCCTAGTTTTAAAGTCACGTGCGAAATCCGCAGCGCTCGGCGCAGTAAAATTCAACCCAGAGCAGCCACAACCTCAGTGACATCGGCGCGAGATTTGCAAAGCTTACTGGAAATTTCACTGTTCTATGCATCTGCATGAAGGGTTTGCTCCTTGCGCCCCAGTCTCTGCCAGGTGCTTGACCATAGCACAAGCACATCTGACGGCACAGGCTGCTCGCAAAACGGGCATTTAATGCCTGGTCGGCCCAGGCCGACCTCAATGCGCGGACGCACTGCAAAGCTTGGGTCAGGTCACTGGCCCGTTGGGTTGATTTTTACAGGGTTTTCGGCTGCCCTCCGTTTCAGTTCTTCTCCATTGCTCGCGGAAGCTGTTCTCCATTCAACGGGCCAGCAAGATTTAAAACCCAAAAAGAATCCAACGCATGCAAGCACCCAAGGTGAATTTTCTTGGCTACAGAAACGGATGAGGGCTAAAGCAAACGAAAGGAAGGCCAACTCGAAAAGCAGCTTTGCCAACAGCAAACTTTTTGGTCATTCGACCATCCCATTGACAACGTCCAGGCTGCATCTCTTTGACAACGACTTTGAATCGCATGACACTGTGCGATGTCCCAATGCCGGGCTGCAGGGGGTGTCTGAACTCACTCATCTACACCGGGCGAAATCAAAACCCTGTAGCATGGGGTGCAAGGTGGCAAGCGGCTGTTTCCTTCCACCTTCGATACAAGGATAAGTTGCAGGTTTTGCTCCTGGCTGCCAGATTTGACCCTGGCAACTACAACCCCCGAGTGAGAAACCAGGGCCTGAACCCTTATCCAACCTCAACCAACCTCAACCTGGTTTGCAGCCTTGTTAAAATCTTGCTAGAGCTCTAGTTTGGATGCCCGACACCTCAGCGAGCACTTCGTGCAGTCAACGGTCCTTCCCGCTCACGCGAGCTCTTCGGAAGCCCCACCTGTTTTGCATCTACAGCTGCACAGCTGCCTGAGCAGAAGTCATTCTACATGATTTAACAGCTGCGACCACTAAGGCTGCACATGCAACAGCAAGTGGCATTGTAAATACTCTCAGGCGGCGCCGCCTGCATCTTGCTCGAAGTAATGAGAGGGCTCCTCAGTACAAGCTTGCATTGTGAGGTATCGGCTTGCCACACAAGCTAGGCCTGTAGAGCATGCGACTCTCTATGGAAGCGGCAAGGTAAGGAGTGCTACTTTGCAACCATTTATTCATTGCTGGAGAAGCCCGAGGCCCCCCACTCACTCGTCCCCTGTATTATTCTTAAGTATTGGCTACTGGCTTCAGGCTCGAGATGTGTGAAGCGCTTGTATAATGCCTGGCGTGTTCTGGGTGCTTGTTGCAACTGGCAAGGACCTCATGAATGGGCTGAAATGGGTATCATTCTGTTGCCGTACAATGTTGCTCTATGCAACACCGCCCATGACTGAGAATGTTAGTTCCCAGCTGGGGGGGCAACTGCGGAGCCGGCCGCGTAGTGCCATTGCCTGGGCGGAGACGGCGAGAAAGCAGAGGGGATCGTCCAGCTTCATACAGCTTTGTTTCATGACAGTGGGACCATTCGTGAGACATCTGGCTTCTGTGGTCTCAGCCTCTGAGCAGAGTCCGAGGCCCCAAGCCCTGCCAGGCCATCGTGCGCCTCCAAAGCCTTGCATGCACTTTACAGGGCTACGCGCTCCGCATTGAAAACTGTGGGGAACAAAGTGGTTTGAGCAACTTCTCTCCACTGCTCAAGACGCTTAGATGCTGTGCTGCTTTCACCAAGGCACTTGGCAGGGTTCTCCTCATTGCTCGCATCAAGCGTCGCCAAAAGCACCCCGCACCTTTTGCTTCTGAAAAGGTTTCATGGAATTGTCGAGGTAATTACCTAGGTTCCTGAAATACTGCATCTGCTGCGCAAGAGGTCGTGAAACCCGCAAGTCCACAACATAATCACACATAGCTCCAGTCTGCTTATGCCACTGCCTGCTTGCCTATGGCAAAGCAAGAACGTTTCGACGACAGGCCAAAGCATTTTCTACCAACACCAACCATGCAGTTCCCAATCAAACAACCTACATTTTTCCATGGTGTATGGGGCATGCGTGCGCGCAACATGTACATGCGAGGAACATGCTTAGTCCACTTCGGGATTGAACAAGTTCACGGTACCATTCTAGAGCGGCTGAAGCGCCATGCCATTGCAAAAAACCTGAGTGACAACCGACTTCCATCGAGGATCTTCCCCCCCTTGTTAGGTCTAAATTCCCACCAGGAGTTCTCCGAGGTGCTCTTGCCATCCGGAACGTGACATCTGAACACCAAAAACCCGACACAGAACACCCGAAACACCACGGTTCAATCTGACCCCCGTGGTCAAATTACATACCAAGGCTGGGGATCGAAATTCACCTCTAAACCCAATGTTGGTGGTGCACCTCTCTTGGTGAAGCTGCGCGACCTTTGACAAGACCTCCCGTGCCGCGGAAGCCACCTCTGCTTTTGCAGTTGGATGTGTCAAACCCATCATGCACGCATCGCCAGGTGAAGCATGAGCCCAGTCACACTTTTCAGAACCATGGCGCCCTCGATTAAAAAAAAAAAAAAAAAACGGCCCGCTCAGGCACTTATTGCCCTGCCTTCAATGGGAGCTTCTGAAAGTTGTCTCCGACAGATTCGAAGACCTCGCAGCCCTTCGGTCCTGCAGAAGTGAAATATGTTATCCTGGCTTTGGGATGTGATATACATGGATCCACGGAGATGAGGCAAGCAAGAGTTTGACATCAGCATCTCGCCAATCGGGGCTTTGACGTTGGAGCAGTGGGCCTCAAGATGTTACGCCCTCTTATTGAAACCGCCAAGCTGGAGAGAGCAAGCTTCACGGCCCCCTCGGCCCCCCACACTCTTCCAAAGCCCCAGCTCAAGAAATGATACTCCAAGACGTTCGGTATGGCTAACTCGGAGACTTGCGTACAGCCACACAAGAAGCTCCGATTCGATATACTGCCGGGTGCCTGCAATGACAGAGAACTCCTCCATCGCTTTCTCCCCAGTGCCGACGACACTGGCAGAGCTAAAGAGGCCGCCAGACAGCATGGCACAGAGCCTCTCACAAAGAGATTCCGCAAGAGATTGACTGCAAGCTCTGCCATTTTCTGCATTAGCTTGGGAGGCGTCACTTTGGAAAGCATTGGGCTTTGCATTCGTGTGGATGTTTGAATATGCGAGGCAGCAGAAATCGACGTTTTATTCTTGCTGAAGAGAGTCCCGCCTCCGCAGTAATTGCTTGCTCTGCACTCAGGGGCAGGCGGGCAAGGGGAGCCCCGGTGGAAAAAAAGAAGGGGGGGGTGGAATGAAATTGTTTAAAGTTTGTTGGCGCTTTCAAGGTGCTTGGGTTGAATGAGGAGCCTAATTGAATTCTCGCCAGACAAGCTGTAAAATCCCACCGTCAGCCTCGGCCAAACTCTCAGAACCCCAAACTGGTTGCCCGGCCGGTACTCACGGGCGAGGATGCCACTGCTCGTCGGCTGAAGGAGGCCCAGGGGCTTGCGCTGCTCCATTACCTATCAGAAGGTCGACACTACGCCAAGCACCTAGGGTGCCTCTCATGGTGTCCATCTGAATACATCGCTTTGCAGCATGGCTGTGCTGATGTTTACCAGGCGAAAAGTGGTAATCTGACAGCATCATAGCATGGCAAGTGGTCCTCTCATCCATGAGTCCGTACACGCTTTTGAAAGCACTGAGCAGCTTGCGGGATTCTTCCAAGCTTCCCGGAGTCTGGCGCCAGTGCCTGCTGTCACGTACGCTGGCAACAGTTGGAATCAGTTGAAGTGCTTCGTCCTGGCCCTTCTCAAATGGCTCCCGGGGGTCCCGTGTCCTCAATGACTCAATGCAAACCTGGAGACGTTGTCCGGATGTGGCAGAAGCAACTTGAGGTATGTAGCGACTATAAAGCGACATTTGTGCCTGACTGATGTCAAACTGAGAGCACCACTTTGGCGGCAAAGCGCTATGTTGCAATGCTTGAGCCGTGACGCAATGATGCTAGATGACACTGCCTTCCAAGCCGAACTCTCAAAATCATGTTTGCACAGGAAAAATTTCTCGAAGTGCCTTGGTGGACAGAAACCACATTGCCCCTACGATGAACAGCCCCAGCACCGCATGCAACAAAGGCGTGCTCATGCCTGACGCAGCCCGGAAGAACTCCACGGAGCCCTGGAAAACGACGTAGAGGGCGCCCTCTGCCACTTGACCCTGGCATTCAGCATCTGAAGCAGCCACAAGGGCCACAAGCCATGGACTGTGAAACCAGCACGCTGTGGTGCTCCGCTGGCTGATGCTACTGCGAATGCAACGGCGACCACCACGACAGCGAACAGCGGCGACGAATGCAACAAGGACGATGACGAAGGTGGCGGCGGCGACGGCACCACGTGCACTGCAGGAGAGTCGCGACATAGTAGTTGTTCATCGATCATCAGAATTGTCGTCAGGATTGGCATCGTCACCCTCACGATCATCATCATCATCATCATCATCATCATCATTCTCATCATCATCAGCATCATCAGAATCACCGTCGCAACCACCAACACCATTTGATCCTCGTCGTGTGCAGCGTGCCTGTTTCAAGAGTGAGAAAGTGCGACATTGTCATCCTGGCAGCTGAGGCTGCACTCGCGCTAACATCATGCATAATTGCTGAATTTCTTTATAATGTTGACCCTAGCCTTTGCGCCTTTTCAGAGCAATTGCAACAGTCCCACTCCCTGCGCTCAGCGCGCATTTGCTTCGTAGATGGCGCAGCAAGGCATGAGTCGCGAAACTAAGGTTTCGATGTTCTGGGCGACATGGGCATGAGTGCAAACATATCTTGAGAAACGTCAGACACATCTGACAGTCAGGTTTCCTGGCAGTTCACCATCACAAACTTCACGTCAGTCCCTGCCTCATGCAGAAACACGTGTCCCGGAGGGTACTTCTTCTTGACGAACATGTGCGTCGCATGCGACCTTGAGTTTTCATCGAAGGCCACATGCTTGACTGACACAAGCGACGTGCTCTCGGGAGCACATGCCACAGTTCTCTTACGCGTGTCAAAGAGGCACTGGCCTTCAAAAGCTCAGGTCTCTTGGAAGGTTCACTCGGGTTTTGGGCGAAAAGCTCTTTTCTCACTAGAATCTGCCTCACATACATCTGCTCTACTGACATGCACTTCGCCTATGCTAGGTAGGCCAGGAGCACGGCTTGCCAGTGATGGGCACAAAGCTCTTCGCATGTTCCCGGATGCCAACGAGGTGATCCTGCAAGAACCTGGGCGGAGCTGTCCCTTCCGCAACTTTCCCCACGACACTGCCAGCCTTGGCCTTCCTCCACACGAACGCGATGTCAGGCTTCATGTCGGATGGCAATCCGCACACAAGGAAGGAAGTTGTACTGTTGGTTGACAGGTCCGCTCATGCGTGTCCACTGGCACTTGCGTTCCAGTAGCAAGGATCTCAAGATTAATTCCATAAGGCTGGCCACAAGTAGAATAGGAAGAGCCCTGAAATACAAGCAAGATGCAGACGAGGAGCCTGTCTTTCTCTACCCAGTCTCGGCTCATCGGCTCCTTGATGAGCCGCGTGAACTCCGGCTTCCTCCCAAACATGCCATGCTCAACTTTCAGTCAAAAAGGGGAGGGTTCAAAGAAGTTCACAGCAGGTGTCTTTGCGATGTTGAGTGGTGGGGAGCAATGGGCTGGGGCCATCAAGTTGCAAATCAGCGGTGGCTTTGCGCACCAGCACTAAGGCGAACGATAAAACCTCCCAACAATATTCCGAATCACGCCCTGATGGCAGCCGCCAAAAACCCGCCAAATCGCCTGCGTTGACCGCCGCGCATTCATGGATCTTGCATACCGCCTCCCCTCCCCCTTTGCCTGATCAGGATCATCTCGCTCGGTTGCGAACACAGTGCCGTGGCAAGGCGAGGCTGGCTCTGCATCAGGGCCACCACACCTTGGCCGGCTTGGGCGGCAGATTTTTCGGAGGCTCATAGCTCGCCTTTGCTGACCCGATCGAGTGCCTCTCTCTTAAAATACTCGAGTGAAAAGACACCTCCACACTTGGAAGCATCACATCATAAAGTGCGAGTGCAAATACCAATGAGAGGCATGTGACGCTGGCCCATTACATTGTGCCTGCACACCTCCTGCTGCATCCGGTTGGCTCCACCCCGCTCGCCTCCCTACCCTAAGAGATGTTGTAGGGCATCTTCTTGGATGATCTTCGATCCATGTTTGCTGCAGGTTCCAAATGACATGTAGTGGACATCCCCCCTCCAATACACTCACTTGCCGAAGGTGTGGCAGGCCTAAACTGGCCTCTCAGCCCGGTACCCACAGCCTGGCCCGCGCCCATGGTGCCGATGCAGCGACCATATTGCTCCTCCTTGAAACCGTGCAAGAAGGGTTCATTTGCTCTCGCGATGCGCTGGCGCCTTCTCTGGTTCTCCCCGGTTTTGCTTTCAAAGCTTTCCGAAGCGCAGAAGGGGCTCAGAGAACGCAACCCAGGCAGCCTAGGCAGGGTGTAGGGGCTAAGGATGGCCAAAGGCCAAAAAGTAGAGTGATCCAAACAGAAAGAAAGAAATAAAGAAAGAAATAAAGAAAGAAATAAAGAAAGAAATAAAGAAAAAAACATAAATAAAGAAATAAATATATAAAAAAAGAAAGAAAGAAAAAATATAACTTAAAAAAAGAAAGAAAAATCAAAAACAAAAATAAAGATAGAAAGAGCTTCGTGGCAGCGGCGGCCATCCATATACTGGTACGTGCTTGTGACATGCTCGTGACACCTGTGACTCTTTCGGGCTTCATGCTGACAAGCAACCCACCACCTTGTGTTGCGAGGCCTACATCCCACAAGCTATGGCGCAAAAGCCTGAACCCCAGAATCCGAATGGCCTCGTCTGGAACGACGAGCGACATCTTGCGGCCCTTGGCTGCACGTCCAATGCAGGTAACACATCTCTGCACACGCCCTCAAGGATCAGCAGTAAAAGTTAGAGTGACTGTGAGCATGTGCTGTCAGAGTATTGGGCTGGAATTTCCAATCTACCATCGTAGGCGTCGTGGATCCCATCGCCCCGCAAAAAAAAAAAACGACAAAGAGGGATGCTGAGCTGTCTTGTGGGTCTGTTGGCAGCAAGGCCGGGAGGGGGCAGAAGAACATGGAAAACGCTCACGAAACCTTACAGCGCCCAAACACCCTATTTCCACGGCAACGCAGGGGCTCCTACGTCATGTGGAGGTTTACGATATTAGGGGTACCTGTTTGGCATCCTTGTTATAGGGAGATCCTGCTATTTGGGAACCCCCTAGTATCGTAAACCCACATGCAGAAGAAAGCGAGAACTGCTCTTTGTCGAATCCTGCCCGAGGCCATCAAGGTTTGCCTTGCCGGTGCCTCTGCATGAAAAGACAACACAAAATAAGGGGAGTGGCTTCAACTGCTACAATGCTCTTGAAAACAACATTGATCGGAATGCGCCGCACGTATAAACGTATTTGCACGAAGCGGATGCATCTGCCCCATTCCCGCACTTCGCTCCCAAACTCCAAATCGGTCCTGAGTAAGTAGATTTTCTTGCTGAACGAAGGAAAGTTCCGATCAGAGCCTTCAACGCTAGGGCGCGTGCCAAGGTCGTCCGCCCAGTAGCTGGAGCCCCCTCATCCTGGCAAAAAAACGCTCTACAGAAGGTGATTTGAAACATTTCCGACTCAGTCAATAACTTCAGCCAAGGATGGCCACTTTTACCCACGCACGCACTCACATGACCACTCAGAAAGACCCAAACGAGCTCTCCGGTCTGGAGGGAAGCACGTCAAAGCTATCCGCATGTGGGGAGCTCTCCCCACTGCGCACCCTCGCAGAAAGCATAACTTCCACTCACGGCGGAGCCCAACTCCTGCTCGAAGGAAGTCCGCTGCTCCTCTGTCCAACCTCCCGGCACACCTTGGACCAATGTGAGCTGCTCGGCAATTTGACGGCAGGCCTCCCTGATGTCATCGTCGCCTCGAGCCCGTGGGATCAGCACCTCTCTGAAGATCTTCTCGCCATGCGCAGCGACCGTATGCGCCGCTGCCTGTGCACAGAAAAGGAGGACCAAAAGGCCCCGCCGCCGAACGCGAGTGTAGACATCGCTGCAGAGTGCCAGCAATGGCTGAGGTTCCTGACCAAAGAGATCTGCCGGTGTTCGGCAGGACGCTGTGAGGAGCCTAGCCCAAACCTCCAATGCTGCCCATCGGACCCTTGGGCTCGTGCTGGTAAAGCATGACATGGCTGCTTCAGATGCCTGAACAGCCATGGGCTCCTCACACATAACCCCTTCAGGGATGGCAAGCCGCAGCAGCAAAAGCAGGCCTCCATGCTTAGCTTGCCATGCTTCCATCTGCAAGAGCTGGACTGCTGCCTCATGAAGCTTGGAGCATAGGAGGCCACCTCGTCGGATCAATCTGCAAGCGTCATCCAGCGCTTCTTGCAGCAGCGCTTCTTCTGCCCTGCTCCGGTCGCCTTCGTTCCCTGCTTCCACGTCCTCTGCTTCTCCGTCCACGACCTCTGCCCACCACTCAGTAGCCTCAGGTGAGGGCAACTCTGCAAGCAAGGCTGCCAAAGCTGTCAAGGTGTGGATCTCTAACTCTAGCTCCGACTGCTCCTCCCCCTCGTCAACATCACGCATATTGGAAGAAGAGGTGGACATGTCCGAAGCTTCCAAGAGCTGCATCAAGGACTCGAGTGCGGCCAGCCTGGCTGCAGGCTGTGCCCCGGAGTCCATGACAGCTCGGGCGAGACCACAGGGCAGATCTCCCAAGCTTTGCCCCCACATCATCGGATCATGTCGAACAGCTAAAGCTAAAGTCTGAAAAAAAGTTTCATGGGGGTGTCGCACTACTGCTTGTGCGAGTGCCGGTGCCAGATCCCGGAAAGAGTTTCGGAGCTCTTCTGGAGCCTGTTCCATCGCCGTGAGGCAGAAAATGCGCGCGGCTGACTCGGCAAGCGTGACGTCCGGATCGAGCAGTGCAGATGCCAAGAGTGTATGCAAAGCGCCGGACTCCTCCTGCAGTGCAGCTAACTGGGCGTAGACCCAAGTCATCGGCTGGATGCTGGTCTCTTCCTGCAAACCCTCTTCTGCAAGCTCGGCTTCATCCCGCAGCACTTCGAGAAATTCAAGAACTGCAATCATCTCAGGGCGGGCACCAGTGCTGCACAGCTTTCCAAGCGTTGCGGTCAGCTCGGGCCAAGCTCGACCGCAAGAGAACTGGCGAAAGGCTGCTGTGGCAACAGCATCTGCGGATTTGCGGCGCAGAGTTGACTCTGAGAGAGAGGCCCGCAGCGCCTCGAGAAGGGCTTCCCCTAAATCCTCTCGTATCCAAACAGGGCCCTCTGCCACTCTCGAAAGTTCTTGCACTTGTTCCATGACGCAGGACGTCGGGATGACACTCCCGCTGCTCTGCGTGAAGACCTCCCTCAGCAAGACCGCAGCACACCGCCTGGCCTCCACGTCCCCTGCAGTGATACGCAGTGCCAGTGCTGTGCTGAGACCACCTGGGTCATCTGCAACCAGGCGCTGCAAGACCAGCGAGGAAGTTCGCCTTCTCTCAGGTGATGTAGAGGTGAAACCCTCAATAAGGCCATCGATGTCTGCCTCTGAAGTCGGAGCACCACGCTTCATGGCACTCGCATGCGCCACTCCACACCCAACAAGCTAGAAGAGAATTAGCACGTTACGTGCTTTGCCACCCGAGACTGCAGCAGTTCAGGTTCAGAGTGCCAGGTCCGCCGTTTTTGTTGCTCTTTTTACTGGGGCAGGATCAGCGGGCATTTCCCTGTGTTTGTTAGTTAAGTTGAGTTGTGGTTCCTGCACGAATCGTGGCTTCGGGCAGCTTAGAGCTTTGTCACCCCACATTCCGCCGCATCGCTCACGAATCTATGTGAACCTGGGCCAAAGATTGCGCGGCCAGAGGTGTCATCTTCCCCTCACTACTCGAAGTTGCTTCATCCCAGGGGCCCTGGGCTTTCCTGACGCTATTTAAGCTTGCCCCCTATCCTTCAATCTTCAGCAGACATGCCAGCCTGCTCCTCAGCAGGCGATTTTTTGTGCACTTTGACCTGCATCAAGTGCACCAAATGCATGCTGGGCTGCCTAGGGTTTGGCTTCAGATTAGTTGAGTTGGTTTCCATTCGATTTTTGTGTGCACAAACAGACATGCCGACGAATGCCCAACACGCCACGCTGCCTCTCCATCGAGGACGAGGTACAAGTCAAAGGAGGACTCCCCCTCATAGAACAGTACGCTACCCTGAGGGTAGTGCACCTGCGGCGTGGGCCAAAACCTTTTTGAACATGACACCAGACTCAACAGACAAAACCCTGAGCCTAACGAGAAGCCTGCTCGCGGGTATCATGGCTTTGGGTCTGGGTCGGGTCAAAGCTTTTTCCGTGAGCTTCATCCACCCGCGCAGAGACCCTTGTGATGTTGTTGCAACAAAGCCTCAATATGCCAGCTTAGAGCCCACTGAGGAGCCTACGCAAATAGCTAAAAGTCAGACCTCAGGAGCAACAGCAATCAAGGAGATACTGGGGTTTACAACCCGTCCGCCCCGCAAAGTGTTAGAACGAACAAAACTCAAGACTGCGAGGAAGCATTGCTGCCAAAAGCTCAGGTTTGACAACAAGCAATCCAAGCTAGCCGACCCGGACTATGGCAAATCATACTGCTGAAAGCCTGCTCAACAACGCTCACAAGCTCCTCTTTGGCTGCAAGAGGAAGGTCCTGGACGCGCAGGGTTGCAAGGCACGGCGGTTTTCAGGGTTTTTGAATTGCCAACAAAATTTGAACAGTTGAATCGCCACCAGAACACTCGTACTTGTCAAGATGGTTCAAGCAAATCGGGGTATCTCTGCTTCTAGACAGACCGGTGGCATCAGGTGCTTCCGCGGGCAAAGCCTTCAGAAGATCGAAGCTCGCCAGCTTTTCCTGGAGATACAGGATGAATTCTTGTGAGCCCTGTTGCGGCGAGGCTTGTGATGCCCGTGCCTTTATTACCTGCCGCTGGGCGCGGTCCATGATCTTGGCCATGGCGGGGCGCAAGAACGGGGCAGGAATGCAACCCTAAAGCCACAGCGGGAGAAAGCAGGTTTGCTCTTAGGTAGTTTCAGCGTTTGAGTGAGGCACTTGGAGGATTCTGATTCGTTTGGATGTGCCCTGGGCAGGGGCGCGGGGTGCCGCTTTCCTCAAGCTCTCCTGCACTGCAATCCCGGGCTTCGATACACCTAAGCTTGTGGGCCAAGATGCCACAAGGAGCCATGGCCGGGCCAGTCAAGTAGCATTGCAAGGTTGTTGTGCTGTGTGAAGACGCATAACAGTCCCCTGACTTGCAAAATTTGTCAAGATGTCAGCTGCCTTTCTTGTAGGCACCTTGTATCCTGTTTGTTGCTCTGCGAACCTGCTGGCTAGCACGCGTCTTTGGGTGATCCATGCACTTGGTCGGTTTCCCCATAAGGGCCTTTCCTGAGTAGCTTATGCGGTCTTCCCGTCACATAGGCCTCAGCCCGTCCCGCAAGGAGGTTTCCCTTCCTGCTAGGGACCTTCCTGTCCTGTAACGTTTTCGGGACAACACATCATTTCCAGGGTCGAGTTTCGTCGCAGACATTCGTCTTTGGGAAATGGACATGTGTTTCAAGAGCCGTCATAGTCTGGAATTGGGCTTGTGTTTCAAGAGCAGTCGGAATCTGGATAAGACCTCGTCCTCGCGGCCGAACTTCGTCTTCGGGTCCACATTTCGTCTTCGGGCATTTCGTCTTCGGACTTCCGCATTTCGTGAAATCGAATTCCGACTGTCGTCTTCGTCCGAATTTCGCATACGGGGCCGGATCTAGTCTTCAAAGTTCGTCTTCGCTAGCCATGTGAGCCTTGGGTGGCGAACCATTTCGTCTTCATCGTTTTTCCAAATGTGAACTTCCCCCCCGAGAGTGCGCGCCGTTGGGCCTGGAAACTCGCAATTTGAACACCAGCTCTTGGCACCGTCCGGGCTCTGACAACTAGACCCACAAACAGCGCTACTGTGAGTATACCAAGTAAACGAGCATATTGATTAATATTATTTTACTTCGAACATCCCCACCTTAGGGATTGTGGGTTGGGCATTTCAGGGAGTCTCTGGGGTTGGGCACTCCAGGGAATCTCTGGGGTTGGGCACTCCTGGGAGTCTCTAGGAGTAGACCGGCGAGGAGAAGAGTTCCGGGCGAGGAGAAGAGTTGAGTTTAACATCTAACCACCCCACACTGAAGGTGGGGAATGATATAACGATCATATTACAATATTATGATCATATTCCTGTGTATGACGAGTCGGCCCACGGCTTCCTCCCCAGGCTTTGTCTACACAAGTTTGCTTTTTGGGTGCCAGCAGCAGCTTCCGATTCCTAATGAGCCCTGCAACTCTTTCAATCTGAAACCCTCCCCCCACTGCAATTGATCACCTGAAGTTAGAAGACCCTGAATTCGACCACCCCCGCGTTTGTAGCAACTGCTCCGCATGAATCGATTCATGAAGCAGGTTCGGGCGTCAGCCACTTCCTGTCTCGGATCTGGTCAGCTTTTGCCTGGTAGCAATGTACAAGCTTTCTTGACTAGACCACCTTGCCACATCCCCTCATAGCAGCTACAGGATTCCTCCGCACATTCAACATTCAGCAGCGGTGGCCGGACAAAAAAGAATATATCATCATGATGCTTCCTGGACCGACTTACTGTGTCAAGAGAACGGCCTTCTGCAACGCTTCAGGGGCCGGGTAGTCGCCCATGAACGTCACATCGACCTGAGCTCAGGCCATGGGCTTCGGGCATAGCAGCTCTGCCCCACCACCACCCAGAATTTCCTGCGATATAAACCAATGTATGAACAATATGTAAATGTGTACTACATACGATGTAGAATATAATATACAATCTACAATATATATATATATATATATATAGATATATACATGCTGTATTCCTTACACAAATTTTACAAAATGTTAAAAAAAATGTACTTAAATCGTAGGCCCCATCAAAGTGGTGGACCTCTCGCTTCGGACTGCTCTCTTCAAAGCTTGACAAGCCTTACCCATAGCTGTTTTCTGTCAGCTTGTGGACGTGGGTCTGGCGTCTGGGTAGCCACAAGCCAGGGCCTTTGCGACTTCCATGCCGGCAGCCCATGCCGCACGGAGTCCGCTCTCCCCATCCTAGGCGGAACCCTTTACAGCCCAGGGTCAATCAAGCCCACACATTCTACGCGCTGCCTCGTAGGCCCGGCAGCGCGCAGGATCCACCCCCAGCCGTCGCGCCTTGGCCCGGGCGCTCTCGCAGTCTTGGGCTCGGTGGCGTACTTGCCCCGCACCCCCCCACCCCCCCGCCCGCAAGGGCATCATCCCCTCCTAACCATAAACCACAGGGGGGCGCGGAGGGGAACGGGCGGGGAAGGGGGGGGCAACCCTAAACTCAAAACCGAAAACCCACGATGAACCACAGGTGGGGGGGGAAGATGCTGGTGCATGTACAGTGACAGGGTCTTGGAGCATCATAAGAGCTCACGCAAGGGAACATAGAAAACACACCGTTCAGGCATGACAATGAGGCGCCTGCACCTTCAAGGCTGGGAAACGAATCGTCATCAGCTTGGGTCGCAACCGCTTCGAGGTAAATAGCGGGGTCAGGCCTCGAGCTTCTGTTGCTTTGGCAAGGTCGCAACTGTCAAAAAGTGAAAATTCTTGCAAACAACACCTCGCATCTTGTTGGGCATGTTTTGGTGCCCGCACTTGCCGCGCGGAACTTCGGAGCCAAAGACCATGTGCCTGGGAGGAGGTCCGGGAACTTCGGAGATCATTGAGAAGAAATTTCTTGATTTTCTCAGAAATGCTTACAGTATTCTTAGGATAGGTGCGGTGTCTGTGGAATTTGTCAGGCCAATGCTGAGACTTGAACCAAGCACTCTCCTTCCGTTCCATTTCTCTTCTGCACCCACTGTGCAACCCCTTTTTATCTCCCAACCCTGCATCCTGCTGGAGGCCACCCATGAACAAAAAGTCTGCAGGCATCCTTCATGCTCTCGCTGGTGGGCGCCGCGCTCCCGTGGCACCAGGTCTGCTAGCCCAGCAGCTTCCAGGTGCTCCAGCCTGGGCATGACATTTGGCAGTGCCAAGACATGTGGAGTGCGGGGCACGCTTTCAAAGACAGCCTGGCCCTTCATCTAAAGGTTTGGCCACGAATTGCTTAAAAACCCCTCACTTCCAGCAAGTAGCGTTGTGTGCCCTCGAACGGATCCAGTGGTCCTCCACTAGCCAACTACGTAAACTGTCCAGGTCGATGAGCAGATCTCCACTCCGCAGATATTGAAGCATGCGAATGCCCCCCCCCCCCCGAAATAGCTGCAGAAGCTCTTCTGTTCCTCACCAAAAGCCGCATATCTAAATGCACTCCACATTTTGGTTCACTGCCTAACCCCAGATTGGCTTGGGCACCAGCACGATGTCCTTCAAACCGGACGTTGCAATTGCCACAGGCACACCACGCCTGCAGTAGCCAAGCTAAGCAAGCCGGTCGTCGTGCAGGATCATGCAGGTGCAGATCCACAGACGACTCAGCGCTGGTGGAAAGATCCACACCCCTGCCGATGACAAACCACTGCCGCCTGGAAAGAACCTAGTCCCGGAGCGTCTGCGCGAAACAACGAGCTTCTTGATGGCTAAACTTAAAGAGAGCAACAAGCGACATGAGACGGTATTTCAGTAAAAGCTCCACCGCACTCCAAGCAAGGCTTGCCTTTTACATATGTTTATTTCCGGAAACAAGCTTTGCAGCTGGGGCACGCCCGGTACTCCTGCAGGATGGAAACTACCTCGGGCGCTGAAGCGTGGACAACGAGTGCCGAGCCAAGGCTCTTTGAGTAGAAGGATCGGCAGAGCTCCAAGCGCAAATGAGATCAGCAAAGGCTCATCCCGATTTGCTCAGGAGCTGTTTGTACCTTGCGGTGGCTCGGACTGTAAACCTGATGTCTGGGCCGCGGTTGCACGGCCTCTGCATTCTGCTGGAAGTGCCGTTCACTCCACACCTAGTGATATAGAAACCCCACCTTTTCAACCTTGCACCGCACTGAGCTGACGGCGCAGGGGATTGCGGGAGGATGGCCCTTCTCCGCCTGCTGCAAAACTGTTTGGGACACCGACAAGCCACCCCAGTGGAAGGCCATTGCACGTGATCCCTGAAATGCCGACCTTTCTTCAGCACCGGGAGCACACCCTGAAACTGGAGTCTGCAAGCAAGCCCTGAAGGCAAGAGCAACATGCTCTGCTGAGCCTCCTCCTCCCTGTGCAGACGAACCTTCTCCGCGATGAAGTCCCTCCTTGGTTGCGACTTATAAGTCCTCTCAACATAGCTGCCATAGCTGACGTGACATCACATGACATCCCTCAGCCTCTTAGCCCTGCACACATATTCAGGTGAGGCATCGCAGCCTCGCCATCCCAAGAATGGTTCAACATCCACACACCAGACAGGCAGGTGTACCCTCCTATCAAGCTTTCATTAGCGTTCGTGGGATGTGGGATTGCAGGCTTGTGCTGTGGATGCACGAAGCTGTGGCAAAGACTCGAGCCTTTCTGTGCGCGGTGCAGGCTTTGCACCTGGACGTGAAGCATGCCAAAAAAATAGCCGCCAGACTCTGAATCTGTGGGCCAGCTGCTGATGCTGCTGGACCCAAATAAAGCTGAGGGATACCCCCCATCATGCCCCATAAAGGATGCTACGGATGCTGGGTCTCAAGAGAGACTAAGGGAAAAAGTCTTCATGTCTTCCCACTTCATCTGCTGGGGGCGCGACCATGTCTGGCAACGGCACACCTGGCTCATGATAGCTGTTGGGCTACTCCGGTGGGTATCTGGGTATCTGCCTTCAAGTACTCTCTCAGAAACCAAGTTTCAAAGAACACCTGCCTGCGAGATGATAGAAGTCATCTTCCGAGATCCGCAAATCAAACCTGGGCCGGGTGCCTCTAATTATCAAGTTCGGGGAGGCAGCTCACCCTTGCGGCCGACGAAG